TGGGAAAACTAATTAACGCTGCAATAAACAAAAAGTTAGAAGAGCAAGTATCTTTTAAAATTTCAAGAAGCACTCAATGTGACTGAAAAATGGAAAATCTTCCCATTGTAAGTTTGATTAAAAAAAAAAAAAAAAAAAAAAACACAAAAACTAAAGCTTGCAAGAAAAGATAAATGGAAGCCACAAATTTCATTGTTGTTTTCCCAAACTGTCCCTTCAGTACCACAAATTAAAAGCAGATTCTATCTCCTTCTCCCTTTCCAGTTTCATTATCTTCCAAGTTCATCACCTTGTCTGAAGACCTTTGCAGTGTTTCAGCAATTATTTGGGTAGCAGATTGAGAGCTGGGAAAAATCAGACTTGCTTATCAGTAAGAACAAATCCTGCATGCTTTCCTTGCTGCTAGGTACATAGACAGAGAAAAAGGGTGAAAAATTTCTTGATAAGGCCTTGATTAAAAATGACCAAAAAATTCACATTCAAATGCAAGTTGTTTCCATTATGCATCGGTGATGGTAAATTTCATCTTTGGGGCATGATAAATCACAGAATCATAGAATCATAGAATCATAGAATCATAGAATCATAGAATCATAGAATCATAGAATGGCCTGGGTTGAGAAGGACCTTTAAGATTATCTAGTTTCAAACCTCTGCTGTGGCCAGGGTCGGCCACTAGACCAGGCTGCTCTGGTCTGAAAGCTTAAGTTTGGTTTTAAGCTTATAAAGCTTAGTTTTACCTTCTAACTTCAGGTTATGCAAGTTTTCTGTGTCATCAAAACAACTGCAATTCATAATTCAATTTGATTTTCCCTCAGAGTTTATCTTCAAGAATACACGGTAATATATGAAAGTTATAGCAATGTTTAGCCACGCATATTATTGTCATAGTGTAGTCCACATCCTTGAAATGAAGCAGAAAAAAATGCATTTGGAAGGGAAGAGCCAATATCAGCCAGCCTCAGTCTGCTGGCCCTGTCTCCGTTGTTTGTTCAATACATTAAAACATATGAAGTGCTTCTTGCACACTCCTTAGAAGAGCAATAAGTTTGAATCACAGATGGAGTGAAACAGAGAGCTCTTGTCTCTGTCTTACTTACATATGTCTTTGTTCAATCAGAAATTATGGTTACCAAGCCTGTAGTGCGGCCGGCTTTTTCATTCTCATCAGTAGTCTTTGGAGTTAAACTTTTACATGCTGTTGCACTATTCCTTTCTTTCTTTTCCTTTTTAGCCTAAATTCCATTAAAAAATCTTTCTAATGCTTTGGTTTCTACAGCCTCTAGAGAGAAGAGGAATTATACTAGAATTTAAGTGATGGAGAGCACTGACAAGATTAAATCTTTTCCAGAAGGAGGACGCTCAGGAGAAAAATGCTTACAAGGTAACAACAACAGCAGTGACAATAACAAAGCTGGTCAAATTTTCAGGATAAGTTTTGAATTATTCCAAGGGAATGCCCTTTTTTTTTTTTGTATTTATGGAATCTGTTCTGCCAAATCAATTATTTGTTTCTCTGTTTCTGCTTTGGAGCAGAAAACACAATTCACTGTTTGATGGCTGAGTGTGAAGAGGCAAACAGCAGCAGCCCCTTGCAGAGAGATGATGTCAAACTGAGCCTGAGTAATAGGGAAATTATAGAATGAGGAAGAAAAATAAACTTGTTTACCTGTCAGCAGGTTGTATAATCTGTTATCGTTATTTTTCTTAACAAATCTACTCATGTTGTTCCAAGTATCCCAAGCAATGGAACTGGTAAAACACAACGTGTTATGAAGATGCAATTTTATTCATTTCAACGTGCGTTTCAAGTTTGTGAGTCTTTGGCAAGACATTGGCTGGCAGGACACCCAGCAAATAGTCCAGCAGGATTAGTGAAAAACTGTGTCAATAAGGACTATTTGTGCAATTAGAGATTAGATGGGCTGTTCTGATCCCCATTATCATATGCCAATATTGTAATCTTTCCCAGTCTTTTATTTTTTACTTGATACTGACCTAAGAGACAGTGTATCAGCATGCTGTTTTTGCATATAAACTAGGCAAGTTTCAGCAGTACCCTATCCCCATGGAACCCTAACGCCTTCTCCATGAAACAGATGAGATTTCACTCACTGATCTGAAGGACATTGGTCCTTTCTTCTGGATTAACATGCTTTCAGACTCAGGGTTGCTAGAAAGGCAGAAGCATGATGTGATACTGACATTTCAGGTTTATGGCTAGCAGAATAATAAATATTCTACTGATGACTGAAGACTTTGTAATAGAGATTTGGTGGCAGATTAGTTAATGATTATGTATGGATAGTTTTTGTTAACTATTTAATTTTCAGAGAAGACAAGAAAAAGGAAAAGAAGGAAAGGATATATATAAATGAAGTTATTTTAGACAGATGCCACAGCTATCCAGAACAAAATGTTGTGGGGATCTTGGAGAGATGTAAATAATTTTGGAGAAGAGTTAAAATCAAAGCAGTTTTTTTCCAGGCTGCTAGATGTTATTGAGTTTTGCCCACATATTAACAGAAAGCAGATAAATAGCTGTAAAAGTAAATCAAATTTTGTTTTCCTGATAATAGAATATCAGGATGTATCAGAGATGTACTTTGCAGGCACTTTTCACATCAAGAAACACTGTTCAGGAAATGATACTTTATGCTAAGAATTAGCCAGACTTCATTACCATGAGGACTGGTGAAACTGTATTTTAACAGTGAAAAAGAATGGTAATTAAGCTGCCATCCAGTTATTTTTTTTGATGCATATAGGAAGAAGTAACCCATATTCTCCAAACTACAATGCAACTGCTATCAAGAAAATGTTGCCTCTGACTCTTTATTTAGCTTGAATCTTCTGCATTCCTGGATGGGAAATTTTAGTCTTCACTGCCCACAGAATGTGAATATGAAGTATTTCAGTTCTGCAGTGAATCATATTCAGCACCTGTCTTCATCACTGATTATATGTTTCAGTTCAGATGATTGACTTATGGTTAGCAGCACCAGCACTGTGCAGAAGTTTCTTTGAAGGATGGGATAAAACCAACCAACAACTGCAGGCTGAAGATGTTATTATAGACAATATGCTGATGAAGGTTTTGCAAATTGTAAAATACTATTAGACTATTAGACTACTAGTATCTGGCACTGTCTTTCAAATAGCATCTGAAGATCTCCTATGAAGAACATCTTTTTCTTCTGATGGAAAATGCTTGCTTTGTTGAAAACAGTATTTTTCACACCAGCAGCATAGGTATGTTTGGAACTGCATAATACTTGGAGGAAAAAAAAAAACACTGTATGTCTTTCTCCCTTACACTGTATGAAGCCACTGCTAAATGATTAATAACCGATCATGTATGGCATCAGAGTCTTGCCATCTTAGATATGATAATGTATTATTTTAGGGGTATTGAAATCAAGCATGAGGAAGAGCTAATAAAGAGAAAGGGATGGTGAAAGGTATAGTGGTAATTTCCCTCAGGTCTGACATGCAATTTGGCTTCATGTGGTGCTGAAGATATCAAGATAAAAGTAAAAATGTGATATTGGAAGTGTTACCAACCAATAATTTGAATACAGCAACACAGACATGAGTCAATTTGTCTCATTTTATCCCCAGAAGAAATCAATGGAATCCATATCATGGGAAAAACACTTTATTATCGGCTGATACATCATAAAGTCCTCTGAACAGCTGCAGTCTCACATGTTTAGCTGCATCCCTTCACGAGTTATGTTTAATCTTGCAGAAGTCCTGCAGCTGGAGGTGTACGCTGCGTGAGCACTATGATATGCATAGCTCACAGTGCTGCACAGGAACCAGAGGTGGGTATTTCCCCATTTTAAACACGTGGAGCCAGATTCTGAGTAAGCCTCGGTTCTATAAACTCTCCATAAAAAAAAAAAAAAGTATCACAGATTTTAAGTATGTTGAGATTAGACGTGAGCGCTCGTAAACATTCACTCTCATAACATAGGATTAGCCTGCCTTCCAGGCTGCAGAGCAGAAAGGAGAGCACAGTGCAGAATCTGGTCCAGGGCACAGAACTGCACTGCTATTCCATGCCCTGTGAACTGCATTCTCAAAGCCTTTTTTCCTGATGTATTTTGATGGTTATGTCTGCATTCTACTGTTAGCACAAGTTTCATTGTCTTCTAAATCGCTCTGTTAGAAGCAAAACATCATCTGTTAAGCTTGATTCTTCTGCTCTGCGTATCAGACAGTTACCACTCTAAGTGATGGAATATGGAAGATAGAAATTCCTTACAGAGGAATAACATTAGAGATTCCTTATCAATCAGCTGACTTTATTTACTAGATTTTTCTTTAAAAGGTCTAGATGGTGATAACATAAAAACAACTGGTTTTAATTGTTATTTTAAGGCAGATCATTCTGTAAATAAAGTATGATTCATGTTGCCGTACGCGCCCGTTCCGCTTCCCCAGGAGACCGCAGCTTGGCCAATTACTGAGGTGACACCAATATGATGAGCAGTAAAATGGCGTTTATTGCACGTATCAACTACCTTATATAGCCTAATTACTTCGTCTACGCCCCTAGGGGCCCACATCACACATCAATCATTAGAGCAGGGAGGGAGCTTAGCACATCGGACCCCGCGGGGGGGTCTCGCAATTTCGCAGTTGCTGACAACATCTCCCCCTCCCCAAGCTCAAGAAAGCATACTACAACTCGAGAGGACCCTAACCGCGTACACCCCGAAATCCCCGCTTTGCGCCTATACATGCCATTGTCCTCTCGGTTAAGCCTTGCCCCGTTACAACCCGAGTCGCAAAACATCCTATCCTAATAGCCTATAATCTATTAACTTAATAACAGCCTATTAACTTAATAATCCTAAAATCTTAAAATCTTAATATTTTACATTTAAAATCTTTATATCTCATATAGGTTCTATCTTAACGTTACAACCGTCTATTAGCCTTAAAATAAGTCTTACAAGAATCGATGCAATGTATCCCTATTTAATACTAAATCAAGCTGGGACACTTGCTTTAGCAAGTGCCATGTCTTTGTATATAATATAACTATAAGAACTAAGCATAATAATATTAAACCTAACATAACAACTACCGGATGCAGTAAAAAATTAAAGATTCCCGTTGCTGTGGGAGACCAACCAAAAAGAACCTCCCACCAGTGATGTTCTCCAGCCTTCATCACTCTCTCCAAGACACGATGTATCTCTTTCACGTCATGATGAATGGTGATTAAGGTCTTTTGTCCGTTATCTTTGATACGATTTAATAGTCGATGCAGATCATCATGTTGTAGAAGCTTCCTTACTAAGGCGAGGTTCATCCCAATTAGCACTGGACGCAAATCTTTGATCAGAGTGTAGTTGGACTGCAGAAGCTGATATGAAATAACAGGAACTGTATAGTTAAAATCACATCCTAAAATATTAATAAAATTACAAACACAAAGATTTGAATGATTGGTAGTATCCACAATCATATCCCCTATTTGTATGGAGTTGCAATGAGTTCTAATGCAAGCACATCCTTTTCCAATATATACAAGCATTGATTTGAACATCCTACCAGGTTGGACCTCAAAGTGGCAGATATTTTGTTCAGTGTCAAGACAGATATCTTGAGTCTCAAATGTATTACTTTCACAAATAAATCCTCGTTGTTCTTGCATGGCACATGAACTAACGTCCACAGTTCGCCATTTCTCATTCTTTTGAAGAGCCCATATCCGATGTTCAATTGGATACAGAGTAGTCTCATCATGATTTAATCCTAGAGCTACGATTGGATAAATCGTGTATACTGAAGCATTACTTATCGTCAAAACAAGAGCCATGGCATAATTGGTGACAGGGTCATAGGTGAAGTTAACTAAATGCCACCATGATTGAAACTTCCTTTCAAATCTATTTGCATTGTCCCAAATTACTTTTCTAATTTCAGTGGGTATAGTGCCATCCTCACCTTCTCTCACGATTGTTGCTGCTATAAATTGCATCCACATCTGGGCCTGGATGCAACTGAGGGCTAAAGAGGTGTTACCTTGGACTGCTGAAAGCGCATCCATAATCAGCTGATGATCTTTTCTATTTATCCTTTCCCATTGCGGTAATACATCTGATAAAAGCCATTGACTTGTTCCTAAAGTCAATAGGGACGACTGTAGAGGATGTTGTAGTTTATGTATATTACTTGTAATGGTATTCAATTTACTCATGAGTATTTCAGTATCTATACTATTTAAGACTCCTAAACCTGTTCCCAGAATACCAGAAACATCTCTTCTTATTCTTCTAGCTGTATCAAATGCCTGTCGATGAAGCCATGCTGACCATCCAGCATATGACATGCCTAAAAACAATGCACAATCTGGTTTGATAGTTGAAACATTAGTCTGCAATAATAACATCACTCGTTTAAGGGACCATGTTGGATTAAAGATTACCTGTTGCTGACCTGTATTCTTTATAGCGTACGGTCCAATTTGGTAAATTTGTGGAGAGATAACACCCTCCAGTCTCCTAGTGGGAGTTATATATGGGACATCAGTTGTATGTTGATTAAAGAGATCCACCTTAAATTTAAAAGATCGTCCTAAGGTGTCTTGTGTCCAGAGGCACGTTATCAATGCTGCGAGCCGGGTACGGAGGTGGGTCCTCCTCTTTATGGTATGACCGCTCCTGCTTCACTTCGTTCTTCTTTATCTCCAGGGTTGTTGTTTCTGGTGGGGCCGAAGGAGTCAGCGCCATCTTGCCCTCCGGCGAATCTGTAGGGGAGACAAGACCCCCCCCGGCCCTAACCCCAGCAGCTCCTTAGCACGGTCACCTGCAATCTTCTCCTCCTTTGCTTTCTTAAGAGCTATTAAAATCAATCCCCACACCTTAAACTCTGCTAATTTCTGAGTAAGCATGGCCCTCTGTGAGAGCGCGGCAGTAAACGAATCCCATTTATCAGAATCATATAAGTCAGAAGGGGATGATAATAGCCCCTCTTTGTCCAGCAACGAAAGTGTCGCCGAAATCTCCTTCTTAGAAGGAACATTTTTCCCGCAATAAATTTTGCATGCATGAAAAATCACCTTTATGACAGCTTCCATAACGCCTCCGGCTGAACTTACACCTGGCCTCTTCTGGCGTCTCCCCCCTAGAGTCCTAGGGGAATCCTGGCTCCTTTTCCCGAGCCTCCCGCCTGACGAGGAGTAATGCGCACTCCTCCCGGTCCCCGGGATTCCACTACTCCGCGGATTTGAATTTACCGCTACCGCAGTGGATTCCTGCTTCTGGCAGACAGCTGACTCACTCCCAGGTATCACGTCAGGGTCACCACTTGTTGCCGTACGCGCCCGTTCCGCTTCCCCAGGAGACCGCAGCTTGGCCAATTACTGAGGTGACACCAATATGATGAGCAGTAAAATGGCGTTTATTGCACGTATCAACTACCTTATATAGCCTAATTACTTCGTCTACGCCCCTAGGGGCCCACATCACACATCAATCATTAGAGCAGGGAGGGAGCTTAGCACATCGGACCCCGCGGGGGGATCTCGCAATTTCGCAGTTGCTGACAACAGATTCAGTCTAATAAACTAAATGGAATTAGTTATTTACATTTTGAATTAGGTGGTTAGTGTAGACTATAGACTTAATTTCAAAGTCTCTCCTATGGGTTATATGAAGTATTGCATGGTATAGTAGACTTAGACAAGGCATGGTTGTAAGGGTTCTTTGGGAAACCTCCAAGTACTTTTGAAAGGGATCAAAAAGGCATCAAAGAGGATATTTACAGAAAGAAAGGAAAAAAGAGAGAGAGAGAGGAAGGATTTCAGCTGTCAGACTAAAAGAAGGGAATATGAGAATATGAAATAACAATTTATATTTAGTAATATTAAAAAAAAAAGTTAGACTTGGAAGGATTTATGTTCTGCATAGATTTAGAAATGGCTTTTGATGGCCATCTTTGTTCTTTTATAATACAAAATTCAGTCAGCTGCAGTGAAGGTAAATGAAGCAGGCAAATGCACTCCTATTTGTTTTCCACAAAATTGTATAAAGCTTAATGCATTATCTCAGATGCATGCCATGAGAAGGGTATGTGTGAAAGGTATTAGAGTCAGTCAGGTATCGGTCATCAGAGTCATTAAATAAACAAATGACAAAATCAGCTTCCAGTTTCTAGGATCTACCAGCGAACCACTTATGAATAAACAATTATTTCTATCAATGTTTGAGCATTAAGAAATTTCAGGGGTACTCACTTTCATAAAACCTTGAAAACTGAAAGTGGAAGGAAGGGTTAACCTGGAATACACATTCGTTGAATGACTTCACATGCCTCAATTTCCAGGGTTTGCAGGAGCAGCCAAACATCTTGCTCCGTACATGGAAAGGTTCACAGAGTCATAGAATCATTTGAGCTGGAAGAGACCCTAAAAGGTCATCCTGTCCAACTCCCCTACAATGAGCAGAGCCACCTACAGCTCCAGCAGGGGCTCACGGCCTGGACCAGACGACCTTCAATGCCTTCAGGTACTGGGAATCATCTTTGTCTCTGGGCAGCCTGTTCCACGGCTTCTCCACTCTTATTGGAAAAACCTTCTTCCTTATATCCAACATAAATCTCCTCTCCTTTAATTTAATACCATTTCCTCTTGTCCTGTCACCACAGACCCTGCTAAAGCGTCTTCCTTCTTATTGCCCGCTGTAGATACTGAAAGGCTGCTCTCAGGTCACCTCACAGCCTTCTCTTTGCCAGACTGCACAAGCTCAGCTCTCAGCCTGTCATCTTAGGGGAGATGTTCCATCCCTCCAATCACTTTTGTGGCCCTCCTCTGGATGCACTCCGGCAGCTCCATGTCCCTCCTGTCTGAGGACTCCCCATGCAGTGCTCCAGGTGAGCTCTCACCAGCACAGAGCAGAGGGGTAGGATCACTTCCCTTGCCCTGCTGGCCACACTTCTTTTGATGCAGCCCAGGGTACAGTTGGCTTTCTGGACTGCAAGGGCACAACTCTGCTGAAAAGGAGCAGGAGGTACTGGTGGATGTCAGGCTGGACATGAGTCAGCTTCCCACAGGGAGGCTGCATGCTTCCCTGTAGGTAGGGTCTGGCTGACACGTGGAGCTCTGCTCTCCTTTCAGAAGGGAGTAACCCACAGTGATCCTCAAGTAAAAGGTAGTTTGACAGGAACTGTCTACAGTTCACTGGTACAATCCTCAGAGACAGACAGTATCAGTACATCTGCCAAGAAGAACTCTGCTCATATGTATTTCATAATGATAAGGATCCTATTCCTTAAGTTTTAATGTTGTAAAATGTTTTCCTTAGCATCTCTATTCATCAGCTGTGCTGATCAGGCATTGATTTTAAATGTTGGCTTCATCCTGTCCTTTGTGAAACAAAACAATCTTAACAAATCTGTCAGTTCTTCAGCTATTCTGTTTTTCCATAGTTATTAGCTATTCTGGTAGTCATAGAATCACAGAATCACAGAATCACAGAAACACCAAGGTTGGAAAAGATCATCCAGTCCAACTATCCACCTATCACCAACAGTTCTCACTAAACCATGTCCCTCAACACAAAATCCAAACGTTCCTTGAACACCTCCAGGCTCAGTGACTACACCACGTCCCTGGGCAGCCCCTTCCAGTGGCTGACCACTCTTTCAGAGATGTAATATTTCCTAACATCCAACCTAAATCTCCCTGGTGCAGCTTGAAGCCATTCCCTATAGTCACAGTCTTTTTTTTTTTTTTTTTTCCTGCCTATTTTTCTTCTACTCACACACAATGCGCTTTAATCAAAGAAATCTTTATCAGTTGTATCTCCTGTAATTCTGTTGTATCTCCTGTAATTCTGTACTCATCCTATACTCTATTTGGTGTTCTATCTTTTAACTATCTTATGACTCACAGTGTTTTCCCTGCCTTGATTGCATTACTTAAAGGCCTTCCACTTATTGCTTATACTAAATTTTTTATATCCTCCTGACCACACTGGCTTCTGTTTTCCCTTTCCCTTTTAAGTTTGAAAGCAATCAGTTTCCACTGTTGCCTGTCCAGTTTTTTTTTCCGTGTTTTCCCAGTGGTCTGATGAGTGCTGAACAAACAGTAAAAGACTCATGCTCTTGTTGTGAAAAATCTAATAATTCAAATGGAATTCACCTGGTGAATTTATCACCTTCATGGTAAAGCATCCTGAGTATCTTGTACATAAAGTGGATTTCACTTCAGTTCAGATGCCAAAGAGAGGACATTTTCACTAGACTCCTCTGTCTTGCTGCTGTGGTTTAACTCAGCAGACAGCTACAGACCACACACCTGCTTACTCCTGAGTGGGAGAAAATATAAACGAAAAGTGGTCTGAGAGCAAGGAGTAAACAAAGCAACAGACACACAGTGCAAATACTCAAGCAACAGAAGCCCACTGCTATGGGCCAATATCCCCAGCCTTACTGTATAGCTTGACAGCACATGGCATGGGTCATCCCTATGGCTAGTTTATGTCAGGAGTCCTGCCTCTGCCCCCTCCCAGCAGCTTGTGGCCCCTCAGTCCCCTTGAACACAGTGTGAGAAGGTGAAAAACTGGAATGTCCTTGGTTTGGTGCAGCACTGTTCAGCAACAGCTAAAACATCAGTGTGTTGTCAACACTGTTCATCTCCTAAAGCCAAAAGACAGCACCATAACAGATACTATGGAGTAAAAATTCAGCTGTCTCAGCTGAAACCAGGACATCAAGGAGTCAGTGTTGGAGAGTGAAAATCATCTAATAATGGTGAAACCCTATATCTTCAGAGGGAAAATCATCTTGAGATCTCTGCATGTAATTCTGTAAATTCACTACAAATAATAATATGCTGCTTTGTATTTTGAGAACACCATTTCAACAGGTTGGGATAATGTCAATATTAGCAAAGCTGGGGCTTTAGACCCTACTTTTTGTCTTATAGATTTAATATTCTGCTGTGGAATAAATGGCAAAGCCCCTTCCTTCCTTTTTCTCCTCCTTGTCAACACCTGGTTGGAACATCTTCTGAACATCCTTTCTCTGGTAGTGTTGGCATGTACCGATGAGGAAAAAAGGGGAAAAAAGTCACGTGCTTAAAAAGGAATCCTCTCTGTCACTGTCTAAAGAGTTGGTAATTTGAAGATGGGGAGAACTGTATTTCCCAGAGGATGAATCTCACACATCACAAAAAAAGTTGAGAGGCTAAATAGAAGATTTTAGTTAAGAGCAGCTTCCTTATTGATCAAAACCATCTCCCTGTCTCATTAAACCTGTTGGACTTGAAGAGCTCAGCAGTCCTCTGTGTTACAAGTAGCATCTGATTTTTTTTGTTAAAAGAGCTGTCAGAAACAACCACAATCCTTAATTTGCAAAAATGTGTTCATTCACACAGATTTCTATTTTTAAACCCTGGGGTAAAAATTACATGAGTATACTCTTAATATCTGGATGAAAACAGAAAACAAGGCAAGAACTCCCAATTTATTGAAAGCTGTGTGTATCTTTTTCTTTCCTGCAAATAAGATATCACAAGCCAAAGAAAAAGAATCTACATCAGTTTTTATGTAAATCTGGCAGTTAACAGAGCTGAATAGGATAAAAATATTTGTAAGGCATAC